CGAAACTGGCTCACATGCCTGCTGCCTGCTGCCTGCCTCTCTGCACTCCCGGATTCTCCGCAGAAATGTTTCTTTCTCGACGGCTATTTGCGTTGGCGTTTGTTTTGTTTTCGATTTCTAAGCGACCGCACTCCGAGTGGAGCTCACTTGCCCTCTTCGCAGCGACTGCCCCGCGAAGAAAGCGAGGAGAGCGAGCGAAGACTGCGCGAGAAGACTGCCGCGTAGAAGACAGCCGCGTAGAAGACAGCCGCGTAGAAGACAGCCGCGTAGAAGAGCTCGACGAGATCTCCACCACATTTCCAACTCAGGTGCCAGGTGAGCGAGCTTCAGAGGTGAGTTGTAATTTTTAAACTTATTAAATCTCCCAATCAGCCTATCAAGCATGGAAAACCGATATGAAATAATAGTAACGACCCAAAAAATAATTAGTTTATGGATAAAGATCCACTTATAATATGTTTTTGAAATTAAATGTAAAGTAACTTTAGTTGTTTTAAACATATAAACAATGTGTTGACCGCTACAATACCTTTGGTCGTTAAAAGCAATTTTAAAATTCTGTCTAAAAATATGAATATTTTGTTTTTAAATTACTTGATATTACTTATTTTTTTTTTTACTAATTACAATAAAGTTTAAAATAACACTATGTTTTTGAATATAAATATAAAGTTACTATAGTTAGATTTTTTAAAACAGTAATGACGATAAAATGAAAATACCTTTGACCATTATAAAAGTCGTTAAAACCAATTTAAAATTCTGTCTAAAACAAGAAAGAAAGCAAACTTCGGCAAGCCGAAGTTCATATACCCTTGCAGCTATTGCATGAATTAAATACTTTTGAAAACATTTAAATTATGATTTACTTGAGTATATGCTGAAAAACATTGAAACTATGATGATTTGCAGCTCAATTATTAGATAGTTATTTTATATATTTTTATTATTTCTATGGGAGCTATATGATATAGACGTCCGATTTTGATAAAATTTAAACCATAATTCTGAAATATTTAACCATTGCTATATGTCGAAGAACTAAGAAAAAAAATTAAAAAACAGCAAAGTTATAATTTTTTTTCATTTATTTTTCCGATTGTTCCTATGGGAGCTATATGCTATAGTCGACCGATTTTGATGAAATTTAAACCGTAAATCGGAAATATTTAACCATTACTATATGTCGAAGAACTAAACAAAAAATTAAAAAACAGCAAAGTTATAATTTTTTTTCATTTATTTTTCCGATTGTTCCTATGGGAGCTATATGCTATAGTCGTCCGATTTTGATAAAATTTAAACCGTAATGCTGAAATATTTAAACAGTACTATATGTCGAAGAACTAAACAAAAAAATTAAAAAACAGAAAAGTTATAATTTTTTTTCATTTATTTTTCCGATTGTTCCTATGGGAGCTATATGCTATAGTCGACCGATTTTGATGAAATTTAAACCGTAAATCGGAAATATTTAACCATTACTATATGTCGAAGAACTAAACAAAAAATTAAAAAACAGCAAAGGTATAATTTTTTTTCATTTATTTTTCCGATTGTTCCTATGGGACCTATATGCTATAGTCGTCCGATCAGGCTCGTTCCGACTTATATACTACCTGCAATAGAAAGACAACTTTTGGGAAAGTTTCATGCAGATAGCTTTAAAACTAGTTTGCATATAAACGGACGGACAGACGGACGGACAGACGGACATGGCTAGATCGACTCTACTAGTGATGCTGATCAAGAATATATATACTTTATAGGGTCGGAAACGTCTCCTTCACTGCGTTGCAAACTTCTGACTGAAATTATAATACCCTCTGCAAGGGTATAAATATACATAATATTTTGGTTTTAAATACCTTGTTAACTTGATATATTTATCAAAGAAATAATTAAATTATATTATTTAAAACAATACCCCAAAATCTGCAAAAATTTAACCATTTTTTTTTTTTGCTACTAAGGTTAACTAAAATTTTATATTCATCCACTTTTGTATTAGGTTGTGCTCTCATACTCGATTAATATTTTTCTATAGCAAATGTAGATGACTGGGAGTAGAAACCTATATAAAGCGTATATATTTTTAATCAGCATAAATAATAATAATAATCTTTCTTTGTGTGTCCGTATGAACACCAAGATCTCGTGGATTATTAAAGCTTTCTATGTTGATTAAGTTAGCTTCCCTATAAACTCTGAGCTAAAGACATAACAATACGCAGGTTTTGAAAATAAATAACACTGTGCAATGTAAAGATATACTTCGATACCTTTTACCAATAGAATTGCCGTGATAGTAGAATAGAATAATACACGCCTGTTTGGGTATTTATACTTTGAGACTTTTTTATGCGTTTGCAATGGAATACATACTGAAAGTGCAAGATACTTACGTTGGGCAAGCCATCATTTCGTTTTGTCGTACGTTTAGGTTAAAGTGATTTCACAATTTAGAAGGTATAGACTTAATCAAATTGTTTGACTTACTTTTGAACGGACTGCTGATCCTTTTTGATTACTGAACGAACACTACTCGCCGCCTCTTTTTCCAGTAATTTCGGCACGGCAGATGTAAAGTCCATTATATCAACTGGTACAAATTCCTCCTTCAGAGCCGGATTTATGCTGACGGTTTTGGGTGCAACATCCCGTCGAAACATTGGTTTCGGCAGGTTAGACGCCTTCGAAAGCCGGGGCAGACGTGATTCCTCTGACAGAGCGGGCAATGTGGCAATTGTGGCAGTTGTGGCAGTCTCCGCTTCTGGGCCCGATGCTGGAGAGATCCAAGTGCAGCGTCGCTTCTGAAGGCGCTGATCAGTCAGCGAGGAGCTCGAAATGATCTTCAGCATGTCGCGCTTAATGCGCCGCTCCAGTTCCTGCACCTTCAGTTGGCTCTCATTCCTGCGCTCCTCCTCGGCGAGCTTATCCCTATTCATCTTGATCTCACGCTCTATGCGCTTCATCATCGTGGCATCGGAGACCATCTCGTTCACCTGCGGCTTGATGCGAATCTTCTTGGCGCGCGTGGCGAAGCTCAGGGTGGACTGCGACTCCTCCACGCTCGAGGGATTGATTGTGCAGATGATCGAGGTGAAGGCCTTGCCGCCCAGCGAAGCCTGCAGGATGCGGGTGAGCTTAGAGCTGCGGAAGCTGACAAACTTGTCCGCGTTCTCGGACAGGCTCTTTATCACGTTGCTGAGGAAGAGCAGGCTTTGGCACCCTCGGCCAGCCGAATGGTTCGCCCGCTCCGATCCAGCCAGATCCACCAGGTTTAGCACGCTCTGGATAACGACGTCGCCGTCGCTGCGGTCCGACTTGCGGGACTCGATGATCTGCGGAGCACAGATTAGCATGACTTGATACGGGAACAATTGCCCGAAGGACTCACAATACGGAAGATGGCGTGCGAGTGGCTGGTCTCGCCCACGGTGCGCTCCTTGTTGCCCGTGCAGAGGAGGCGCAGAAGGTCCTCCTCGCCGGTGATGATGCACTCCTCGCAGTTTACGTTCACCATCCCGTTTCCGGACTCGTGGATCTTGAGGTCCTGGTTCTTTTTGTTCAGCAGGTCGTAGATCCTCTCATTGTAGATCTCGATGTAGCCCACGCGCAGGAGGAAGTCGCGATCCGTCTCCGTGGAGATCTGCTGGAAGATCTCTTTGGCGGCCAGCACCATGACACCCGGGTTCTGGTCATCGCCCATCATCGTGTGTGTCTTGCCTGCATGGTGTGCATGTTATTAGGTACATAAATATTCATGGGAGTATATATAGCACAAGTACCCACCCGACGACGTCTGGCCGTAGGCAAAAATAGTTCCGTTGAAGCCCTGCATGCAGGCGTGCACGATGTGCTTGGCCATCCGGTCGAACACCTCCTGGTTGCTGGCGCCCTCACCGAACACATAGTCTGCAAGTGGAAAAGGGGGAAAAGTCAGGACTGGGACTCGATTCTCTACATGACCACGAAGACTCACCGAAGACACAGGGCTCCGCGTGGCTGTCCGCCAGTTGGATGGAGCGGCCCTCCTTCACCTGCCACAGGGAGGTGAGCCCGAGCTCACATGGTCTCACTTTGATGCACACCTGGATGGAGCTGGCGTTCTTCGCGGACATCTTAGCGGTTCCTTAATTTCAACAATTTACGATACGGACATAAACAGATTTTAGAGTTTTAGGAAAGCTTAATTATCGACATCTTTGTTGCTCTAATAAATTCGAACAAATACCGCTTCTAAAACGAACCAGTTCCAGAAGCGAGATTACTTGCATCGCCGGAACCAGTTCGATGTCAATGGTGCTTTTTCGGTTATCGATCTTGTCGGAACTAGGAAATATTTTTAAGTAAATATAAAACAAGAAAACTCATCAAAAATTAAGCCCTAAATTGACTTTTCTTACTGTGACAAAACGTTAAAGATTTTATCGGGGCTCAGAAAATACATGGGTCCTGAAAATTTAAACGCGGTCGGAGGCTTAGGCTTTTTCTAAGTACAGCCTCTCAAATTTGTTTACTGTAAAAAACTGAAGACACAAGAACCTTTTGCAAACAAATAAACAAATACAAAGTTGAAGATTTCGTTTAAATACATATTTTATGTTTTGTGTCTGTTTTGCTAAGGTTTAATTGTTTTGAAAAAAAAACTACAAAACGGTTGCCTGCTAACGGTAATTTTAAATAAAGCGCTCAAAAAGTTAGGTGAGATAGCAATTCTAAGTCGGCTCGCAGATTTTCAATTCTTTGTACTTAGTTTTTTGAAGAAACCACAAATAAGCCAGGAACCTAATACTGCCAATTCTTTGGAACATGTAAAAGTTTTTGAATACCCCTCGTTAAAAAAAATCAGAGTTTTCCCATTACTCTAAAACTCGTCTCTAGTGTGAACGGGTCCTCACAGAACCGCCAAGAACTATTTCAGAACCAGTTAACCCAGATTATAGATACATCTATCGAACTAGTTCGAGACAACAAGCGATTATCGAAGCGGTTGCATCCCTGAAAACGCAAAGCGGTATTTGTTCGAATTTAACTGAGAATTAGCTAGAAACAAAGATGTCTATCATTACTTGTTACCTGTGAAACATTTGAACGTTTGTTTGTCTCCATCCAGTGCTTTGTGTAACGCAAATTGTTGATAGAAGAAGAAGCAATAAAGATGTCCGCGAAGAACGCCAGCTCCATCCAGGTGTGCATCAAGGTGCGTCCCTGCGAGCCCGAACTCACCTCCCTGTGGCAGGTGAAGGAGGGCTGCTCCATCCACCTGGCGGACAGCCACGCGGAGCCCTGTGTCTTTGGTGAGTCTCCTTGGTCATGTAGAGAATCGAGTCCCAGTCCTGACTTTTCCCCCTTTTCCACTTGCAGACTATGTGTTCGGTGAGGGCGCCAGCAACCAGGAGGTGTTCGACCGGATGGCCAAGCACATCGTGCACGCCTGCATGCAGGGCTTCAACGGAACTATTTTTGCCTACGGCCAGACGTCGTCGGGTGGGTACTTCTGCCATATAGGCTCCTGTGACTTCTAATGTACCTGTTACTGCAGGGAAGACCTACACGATGATGGGCGACGGCCAGAACCCGGGCGTCATGGTGCTGGCCGCCAAGGAAATCTTCCAGCAGATCTCCACGGAGACGGATCGCGACTTCCTCCTGCGCGTGGGCTACATCGAGATCTACAACGAGAAGATCTACGACCTGCTGAACAAAAAGAACCAGGACCTCAAGATCCATGAGTCCGGAAACGGGATGGTGAACGTGAACTGCGAGGAGTGCATCATAACCAGCGAGGACGACCTCCTGCGCCTCCTCTGCATGGGCAACAAGGAGCGCACCGTGGGCGAGACCAATATGAACGAGCGCTCCAGCCGCTCGCACGCCATCTTTCGAATTGTGAGGCCTTTCGGTAGTTTTTACCGTATCTAGTCATGCTAATTTCTATCCCGCAGATTATCGAGTCCCGGAAGTCGGACCGCAGCGCCGACGACGCCGTCATCCAGAGCGTGTTAAACCTGGTGGATCTGGCTGGATCGGAGCGGGCGGATCAGACGGGTGCGCGGGGAGCTCGCCTCAAGGAGGGCGGCCACATAAACAAGAGCCTGCTCTTCCTCAGCAACGTGATCAAGAGCCTGTCCGAGAACGTGGACAACAAGTTCATCAGCTTTCGCGACTCCAAACTCACGCGCATCCTGCAGGCTTCGCTGGGCGGCAATGCCTTCACCTCGATCATCTGCACAATCAAACCCTCGATCATGGAGGAATCGCAGTCCACCCTGAGCTTCGCCACGCGCGCCAAGAAGATTCGCATCAAGCCGCAGGTGAACGAGATGGTCTCCGATGCCACGATGATGAAGCGGCTGGAGCGCGAAATCAAGGAGCTGAAGGACAAGCTGGCCGAGGAGGAGCGCAAGAACGAGAGCCAGTTGAAGGTGCAGGATCTGGAGCGGCGCATCAAGAGCGACATGCACAAGATCATCTCGAGCACATCGCTAGGGGACAAGTGTCGGCAGAAGCGTCGCCGTACTTGGTGTCCCACCGCTTCGGGCCAGGAGTTGGACCCTCCGGAGTCCGGCACCGCGAACGACTGTCTTGTCCAATTCTCAAAGATGTCTGCATTACCGAAACCAACGTTCTTTCCCCATTCCAATTTCGGCAGACGATTGGGTAACATTCCCCAGACCATTAACATTCTCGGTTCCCTGAACATTAGCACAGATGGCAACGTGGACGACGAGCAATTCCTGCCGGCAGAGTGCGTTGACTTCGGCTCCCCCGGCATGGATGTCCAGATGGCCAGGCTGACCAGCAGGCAGTTGCCAGACCTTGCCCTAACCCCCATCACGAGTCAGATGGGTCCCGTAATGTGAGTACCCTGTTTTACCCTCACCATGCTTTTGACCATCTTTCATGCTATAACCATTACCCAACACTCGCATCCATCTACGCACAAATAACACGATCATTTGCTTGCGCAGCAAGGAGAAGATTAAGAGGGAGATCCAGGACCTGCAAATGTTCACCAGCTTAGAGAAGCAGTGCGAAGCGGATTTTGAAGAGGTGAAGGTTTTGAAAGAAAGGCTGGAAGAGAACACAGCTCAGCGGGAGCAGTTAGAGCTAGATTATTCCACCGAAAAGGAGCGGTGAGTGCAAAGTGGCTTTTTCCAAGGCAATGATTGATTATACTTGGAATAAAAAAGGAAACTAGCTTCGTATTTGGTTGATAACTTGTTCGATTTTTGGGTTTCGGGAGCTATTTATAATGAATAACAAGAAATTCAGTTCAGTTTTTAAGTGTCGAATAACAAAACCTAGTTTCTAAGAAACAAACAGCTAATAAATTATAGCAAATCTAATCAATGAAGATCAATAATTTATTCCAGCTTTATTCTTTCATAATTCGATACAGAATTTAACTGAGTATTTCTCACTTTTCTTTTTGTAGATGCGAGTCTCTGCAGGCAGAGGTCACCAACTTGACAGCTGCCAATCAGGCGGCGAATTCAAAGATCCACGATTTGGAGGAGCAGCTGAGTGCTCTGAAAGAGACTATGACCGCATTGGAAGTGGCAAATCGCGATGCAGTGAGCCTGGAGTTTGAATTCGAGGCCCACAAGAAATCGTCGAAACTGCGTGTGAATGAGTTGCTCTCAGTACTTTCAGAGAAAGATTTGGCGATAGAGAAATTGCGAAATTCCCTCGACGAATGCAATCGGGAAGTGCTGCGCAACAGCAAGGAGGCCAGAATGCGTTCCATTTGCCAAGCTCCGGAAGAAAGCGTCGACGGAACTTGCAATAAGTGTGAGCAACTGGAGTCCTGCGAGTGTGATCATCTGCGAGCCGAAATCGCCGCCACTCGTGCCAAGTTGGACAGTGTGCAGTCGGCCTTGAGCCAGGCAAGTAGTGAGGTGTATGTAAAGACCACGGACTGCGAACGCCTCTCCAAGCAAATTTCCACTGCCCAAGATGACTTTGAACTGCTTCAGACGAAATACAACACGCTGGAGCAGCAGTGGCAGGGTCAGCAGCTGGCCATCGAGGCATTGCAGTCGAACCATGACACTATTCAGGCAAACTATCAAAAGCTGCAGGAGGAGTACGAGCATCTGGGACGCACGTCAAAGGCTTCCGAGGCTGACAATTCCAAACTGCAGACAGAAATCGAAACTCTCAAGGAGCAAGTGATGGAGGCCCAGAGCATGCTTAAGGATGCTCAGGTCTCCGCGTCTCTGGCAGAAGAATTTAAGGCAAAAAATCAAGAGCTTAAAGCGAAAATCACTGATTTAGAGTCTAACCTTAGCGAGATCCAAAGCGAATACGACTGCCTATCCAACCAACTGATGGAAAGTGTGCAGGAGAACGACGCCCTGCGGGAGGAGCTCAAGCAGCGCCCCTCCAGCTTCGAAGTGGACTCCATGAAGTCATCCGGTGTGGGCACCGAGTGCAGTGAACCGGAGCACGAGCTCGACCTTGAAAGTGATCTCCTGCAGCAGTTTGTCCAGCTGTCTGAATCGATTCACCAAATCGAACTCCAGCACCATTCCGGCTGCAGTCGCCTCTTCAGAGCCATCAATTTAGATCGCGATCTGGAGGAGCCTGGCTTAAAGCTTTGCCTTGAGTCTGCGGATTGTATAGAGAGCGACAGTCGCCAGCTGGATGCATCCGATTCCATCAGCCTCAAGGGTTCCTTCAAGCGCCACAGGTTCCAGATCAGGCGATTAACCCAGGAACAGGTGATATTGGAGGAGGAAAGGCGACTCCTCGATATCATTTCACAACTGGAACAGGAAGTGGCTGAGAAGAGTGCCCTTATGGAGGCCACAGAGGCAACCATTAACGAGATGCGCGAGCAGATGAGCAGCCTGGAGTCTGCCCTGCTGGAGAAGAGTGTCATAGTGAACAAGGTGGAGGATTACCAGCGCCAGATCGAGTCCCTTGAGAAGCAAAATGCGGAGATGACAATGGTGTACGAGGAGCTGCAGGACAAAGTAATCCGGGAGAGCTCGATGAGCGAGAATCTGCTTGTAATACCGCCTGACGATGATACCCTGCCAGGCGTCCACCCCTCAACTCCCGGTATGAAAGATCAGGAACCGCAGGAAGTGGCCACTCTCAAGGCTTCCCTTGCTGAGCTGAGGACCAGGGTGTGTGCAATGCAGGAGGAGATCGACAGTCAGCTGCGTCAAATGCAACTCAAAGACGAGAACATCGCCAAACTATATACGGAAATCGAGGAGATGAGCGAGCGCTGCCTATCAATGGAAGTGAGGATGGCGGAGTTGGAGGAGGATGCCAAGCAAAAGCAGGAGCTACTGGATTGCCAGGCGCAAAAGCTGTCCGATGGTGTACGCCTCATCGATCAGTTGCAGGAGAAAAATGCTCAACTTGTCCAGCAAACGACTAAAGTGGAGGCTCCCTCAGAATACGTTAACCAAATCGAAGAACTTCGAGAATCGTTAAGGACAGCAAACGAAGAACTAAGGGACACGAAGAGGGTAAAAGAGGATGAAATCAATGCCCTACAGCTGAAGTACATGATGAAGATGGAGGCCAGCGAGAGCGAGAATTGCGCCAAACTCCGCTTGTGCAGCCAGGAGTTGGAGGAGTGCAAGGATCGCTATGAGAGCAGTGTGGCCGCTTTAAAGGATCAGCTAACGCAGGCCGGAGAGGAGCTCGCCAGTGTAACGGCTCGCTGTCAGACGGAGTTGGAAGGCATTAGGGGCACTCTCCAGGAAAAGATTAACCACGCAGAGGAAGAGAGAAACAAATTGAATGCCCAGCATCAGGCGGAGCTTGATGGGTTAAGAGAAGCCCTGGAGAAGAAGATTGCCGAGGCGGAAGCACAACAACTCAGTATTGAAACCACACTGAAGGAGCAGTTGAGTCAAGCGCAGGAGGAGCGCGAGAAGGCAACCTCAAAGCTTGAGGAAATGAAAATTACTCTTGAGGAGATGATAGGTCACAGAAACACAATGAGAGAAACAATTGCTGAACTGGAGAAATCCAAATCTGATCACGAATTGGCGCTGGATAAAGTGAAAGCGGAGAGAATGCAGTTTGAGAATCTGTACGAAAAAAGCCAGGAACAATTGCAAATTCAGTTGAGCAATATGGAGCAGAATAACTTGGATACTCAGGCACACAGTGAGCAACTAGAAAAGATCACTGAGCTGCAGGCACAGTGCGAGCAGCAAGTTCAAGACATGGAGAAGTTAAGTCAGGAAAAGATGACCCTGCAGTTGGAGATTCAGGAGGCAAATGAACATCTGTCAAACAGCCTGAAGAAATGCGAGGAACTTGAATTGCAAATGAATGCTCTTAAAACGCAGAATGTGATGGAGAAAAGCGATTTAGAGGCAAAGCTAGAGACTTTCACTGCCAAGATGAGTGATCTCGAAGAAGCACTGCAAAAGGCACAACTGAAGACTCTTGAGCATGATGATCTGATTTCCCAGCACGAACGACTCAAAATCTGTCTTTCCGAGGCAAACGAAGTGTCGTGTAATCTGGAGAAAAAGATTGAGTGCCTGAATTCCGAACTGCTTACTTCCCAGGAAGGAATCTCTAATCGAGACGATGAAATCAAACAGCTTCGCTTGGAATTAAAGCACGCTTTGGATGCCAAGGATACTACGAGATCGGAACAATTAGAACTGGTAGCTCAGCTAAAAGCAGTCGAGGATAAAATGTCAACTCAGGCGGGCAATTTCCAACGCGAGTTGACCGATCTCAAGGGTTCAATGGATGAGCTGCAGCTGAAACTTAAATCCCTGCAAGAAACGAAAGATAATCTTGAGGCTGGAAATGAGGAGCTTAAACTAAAGCTAAGGAATGCTCAGGATCTGCAGAACGCTTTGGAAGAGGAGCAAAAACTGTGCACATCACTGAGAGCAAATATTGCCAATCTGGAACAATCAAAGACTCGCCTCGAAGAGCAAATGCGAGTCGAAGTCGATCAAAGATTCATGGAGATGAGTCGGAATTTTGAGCTTAGCCAAAACACAATCGGGGAACTAACAACAAAGTGCGAAAATCTGCGTTCCCAACTGGTAAGTCCAATTTCCATATCCATATCCACCTTAACATTATGATTCTATGGATACTTTTTTTCAGGAAACCGAAACCAATAACTTCCAAAGGAAAAAAGAGAGCTTGGACTTGATAATATCAGATTTGGAAAAGGAAAAACAGGAACTGGAAGAAAAGCTATCCATTCTTAAAGAAAAAGATGAAACCATTGATCGACTGAAGGCTCAGTTGACATCGAATGAGGCAACTCTTTCATCTCTGCAAGAAGCCATGGAAGCGGCCAATAATAAAAGCCTCGAAATGGGACAAAAGGTTGATGAACTTTCAAGAGAATGCGAGATGCTACGATCCGAACTGGTAAGATCTTTAAGAGAATCCATTTCTTAAGATTTACTGAATATCTTCTTTTTTTTTGCAGCAATCAAAAGAAGCGTGTTTCCAAAAGGAAAAGCATATGTCGGACGGAACCATTTCAAGTTTATTGGAAGACAAACGCGGCCTGGAAAAAAAGTTGTGCACGTTCAATGACATTTTGAGCAAACATGAGGAATTTACAAAGGAGTGCGAGAATTTGAGATCAACTCTGGTAACATACAAGGCATTTTGTTGCAATTTTTTTGGTTTTTTAATGCCTTTTTATTTAGAAATCCAAGGATGCCAGTTTCCGTATGGAGAAGGAACGCATGGACGGTACCATCTCCAGTCTGCTGGAAGACAAGCGTAATTTGGAGGAAAAATTGTGCACGGTCAACGACATTGTGACCAAGCTTCAGGGTGAACTAACTGCTTTGCAAGCCATCAAAGGGAATGGAAGCAACGCGTCTTTCGAGTCAAATGCCTCGAACGGATCGCCAGTTAATGCGCCTGCTAGAAAGAGTTTGGACCGAAATCCTGGTGCCAGTGGCCCAAGGGTGAATATTAGTTTAGCCTGTTATGGTTACAATTCTTAAACTAATTATTTTCGATCTGCAGAAATCGTTAACTTCGGAGACTGAAGTGCGGAGGAATCGACGAATCAGCGTTCACGATGAGCGGAGGCAGTCGTACTGGAACGACTTTCGGGAATGTGGCACCATGACGGATCCCGTAGGTAAGTGCACTTGTTCTTGGCGTGTCTAACAAGATCTTTTAATCGAAACGAATAATTTCAGACAATAATTGCAACTGCGCGGAGCTTAACGCTAGGCTACAGGAGTGCCAGCGGGACTTCTTCATTTGCGAAAGCAAGGTGACGGCATTGAACATGGAGCTGAAGCACCATCCGCTGAAGGACGAGAATGCGCAATTGAAGAGGAGGGTTCTGGAGGAGCAGGAGAAGGCACGCGCCGAGCAGAAACGATTTAAGGCAAAGCTACACGATCTTAACGCTCGGATCAATGATCTCACTGATGCTGCAGCATCATCTGCAATGCCGATTGCCGACCAGCAAGAGCAGGCTAAAAATAGTGTGAGGCCTGAAATGGTAACAAGGGACACACAGACGGAGTCCGAACTGGAGGCAATCCTGGAGAAAACCAACACAAAGTATCAGGATGCTGTTCAGTTGCTGCGTTTCCGCTACAACCTAATCAAAGAGCTGGAAGGGAAGGTCAGGCAAAACGAAAACAACGACACTTCGAACATCACCTCACTTACAGCTGGTCAAAACAGTGCGCTCAAGGTACTTATTTTCTTAGCTGTAATAAGTAATTAATATTTATTGAACCATTATGCTTGCAGGCGCAATGTGAAGCACAGAAGAGGGAACTAGCTGTCATCCGAAATAAATACGAGTCGGCGAAACGCGTATTGGGAATGCGGAAAGATGAGATGGATAAAATTCGAGCAAAACTTGCTCAATATGAAGCAGGTGAATCAACTAAATAGGTTTCCAAGCTGTCATATTTTTAGTGTACAGATCTTTAAGGCGTTGGTTTTAAGTTCTCTATAATATGTCATTAGCAAGCCTTTTAAAAGTCATATTTTAAACTTTTAGTTAACCTTTTCATGCGCAGGTAAAAACATGTATTTAAAGCACACATAATCTTAATAAGTTTAGGTTGAACATTTGCATAAATTGCCAAATTTTTCAATTGCCTTTTGGGTGTTTTCAACTTAAACGTGTCTTTGATTTATAGTATATATAGTTTTTAGTTTATATATTCCACGTGAACTCGTTCCGCAAATTTTGAGAAAAACACAGATTGTCTTCATAACGCGGCTTTATTGTAATATCAATAAATATTTATATAACTTTCTAAGCACATGGATGTCTACTTATATTGCTTATGTAACGACTTTTAACTAATATATTTTAAACTAACGACTTAACCGAATTGCATTAGCCTTAAATGCATTTCAAGTCTAGAAAAATGCCATCTATTGCACTCCCCCTGCTCCAAAATCTGGGCAAGAGTGAGAGGAGGGAAAAGTGTCTAAAACCGAAGGTACAAACTAAACGGGGTAAATAAAAACCTAAAGATACTCGCCATGTACTTAGTTGCTTTATTCACATCCAATATCTTGCTAAGCTATGTAAATGACTGAATTAAATCCCTTATCGTTGGTAGTTAAAACACTCGAAATAAGTTGTGGGTGCGGTCAAGAACTTACAAATAAATATCCAAGTAAATTACATTTAAATTAATTGAGGTAGAAAATTACTAAAGTAACACATATGTTGGTCATAAGGCAAGTGGTAGCGACTCTTGTAGAGTCATCTGTGCTCATCTCCGATTGAAGCTAACCATAAACCTAGGATAACTGAGGCATATTCGAACTAAACTAAATACATACATACAGGAAACGCGTAGTTGTTACATCTATCTATGTCTTGCTCGCAATGCTGCCGCATAAACTAACTAGCCTAAATTACATTTAAGTATATGATTCGCACTGGACATCGAGTGCTAGCGACCGAATGCTGAGTATGCTGAGGTATTCAATTCTCTGACAAATAAGTACAGGCATTCATATGTATTATCTTTAGGTCTATATACGTATACCGAGTGTGCACTGTATACCGTATGTGTGTGTGTGTGTGTGTTGGTTGTATAAATAATCAATTTCTTGTATGCTGATCCCCCATTTGGGGTTTGGTGGCTTCTAAAACTACGGGCAGCTCTCTGCTGTTGACAATTGGCAAGATTCCTGGAGACGGAGAGTATAGCGTTCAGCATACAGGACCATTCACAACTCATGGAAGTTAAAAGTTCGTTTCGGGGGGGAGGGGAGCTCAACTCTATCTATAGCTGGCTGAGGTAGTTCGGTTGAGTTGTTCGGCCTGTTCCTGAGATATGGTAAGCACTGTGGTGAGCCACCAATGAACTGGAAGGCTGTGGCATGCATGGCACATCTGAATTAACTGCTGGCGTCTGGTGGTACAATACTAACATACATACGTAAGTGTTAAATGCGACGGATCGTTTGGGGGCTGGCTGCTCTGCTCTTCTGATTCTGATCTAACGTGAATATTTTCATGTATTTACAGGCTTCTTCTTTCAATGTGAAATCTATCTTACGACACTAGACTACCATTATTACACTTTAGGTTTGTTCATGCGGGATGGGTTTGTCATTCATCTTCATCTTCATCGACTTGTATACACAGCAGGTACTTGTGTATGTAAATATATATATGTAAAGGGGTATATATCTATATATATATATCCGTATAGGTAGTCGGTATAGGTAGGTTTAAAAAGCACAACATCGAATTCTACTAGGCCAGCTCTGGCAGCGGCACAAATATGATTTTAGTCCTAGGTTTCACTATCGTATTGTATCGTATCGTACACATAAACTGGTATACATGAGGATAAGGCTACTCGTTACATATGTTCCATGGGTAATCGGTATACAACTTGTCACGTTCATGTTCACGTTTATATACGTGCTGATCCTTTGCTGGAATCTCTGGCTGCTCCTATGTGTTGTGCACTCCCTCGTCCTCCGAGTAGTTCTCCTCGGCATCGGAATTGGCCACCTCATGGTTGCTGCCCGACTGGTTGATGTCCAGACCCAGGTCCATGGGTTCCGATCCGTCCCGCCTTGAGTCGCCCTCGTGGTCCGCCATCTCCTCGTGGCCCAGCATCCGACCGCCCGAGTTGAGGGCCAGCGGTCGATGGGCGTTTGGCGACAGGCTGCCCGCCGCCTGATCGTGCCGCAGTATGGGCTCAATGGTCAGGCCGGGTCCGCTCTGTCCAAAGGCGGGATTGCCGGCGGCCAGCTTGCTCAGATCGAACTGGCCAGGCATCAATCCCGGCGGCAAACTGTCCAGACTGTGACCCATCGCATTCAGTTGGGCCATCTTGGCCCGCAGTGCAGCTGCAGCTGCCTGCTCCTGCGACATTCCCATTCCTAAAAATTAAAAAAAAAAAAATTAGTTATTGGATTCTCAATTTAAAGGTATAGACTAGAGCCCTTGGACTACTCCCCTCATCAAAACACCTTAAGCAAATCAGCTCACAATATTTGTCTAAACAATTAGGTCACATTTTTTTAAAATTTTAAATAATTTAAAAATAAAAGAAATCTTTTAAATCAAGTAGCACAATCTTTTAATATTTTATTTTACTTTTATAATATGTTATTTTTTTTTAATTATTTAAAAAAAAATATTCTTCAGATTATTAATAAGTTATTTTATTCAATAATGTTTGACCGCGAATTCTTCAGCTAAATGAGGACTTATTTTAATTAGATATAAGCCGCGAAAAAGGTATCCCTTATGGATCGCGGTTATATAAGAATTTTTAATCCTGGGCGATCATAAATTATTTTATGATATTTTACTGCCACCTTAAAAAATGCATTGTTAAAATTTGACTAAAGCTGTTTGAGGTTTTTTTTGTCTGAGTAAAGTGTGTTTGTTTGTTTGGACCTTCTCGAGCTGGGATTTTTTTAAAAAGTTAATGGAATCATAACCCATAGGAAGAGCTGTGACCCGATAATACCATGATTCCATTACCTACACCCAGAAAAACCAATTCCTTGATTAAAGGAAAAACTGCCTTTTAAGAATGGACTAAACATCTTCTTAAAAAATAATAAACAAAAATATCCTAAGAAATTACTTAAGTGATGCTCTTAGGTATTTTTTCCTAAATGTTTTGGTAAGCCGATCTCTAAGGCAGTGTTTAGTTTATTTTTTAATGCCCCATTTTTTTCCCCTTAAATTAAGGAGTTTGTTTTTCTGAGTGTTTGATTCGCAAGAATAGAGTCTATATATAGTATACAATACTATCTTTAGAATAGACACTCACCGAACGTGTTCTCCGTGATGAACTGCAGATAGGTGTCCAGCAGGGACTGGCCGGCGGCATTGCTGTTGGGCATCTGCACGCCCAGATCCTTGGGCTGGCCCAGAGCGGCAGCAGTGGCCGCCGCGGCGGCCGCCTCGTTCCGCATCCGGGCATGCCCAAAATTGCTCAGCAGGCTCTCGTGGTAGCGGCTCAGGTCGCTGCTGCTGCCGCCCATGCCATAGAGACCGTTGCCCGTGGTCAGATCCTCGGGATCCTCGTCGGAGTCCTCGGCATCGTCCAGTGCTCCACCGCTGGCGTTGCTCAGGTCCAACTTGGCCTGGCCACTGCCTCCTCCTCCGCCACCGCTGCCGCCACCGCCGCTGCTGCCACCGCTACCGCCGGTGGGCGAGGCACGGGCCCTCAGCTCCGCCGGGGAAATCTTCACGCCCGCCTTGGCCAGGAGGCGCGAGGCGAGGTCCGGATCGAAGGCGCTGGGCATGGGCAGGACGGGCAGATCCTTGGTGGAGATGCCGCGGTGCTGGCGCGACATGTGCGAGTGCAAGGAGTTGCGCGACTTGGCCACCGTGCCGCACAGGACGCATCGGTAGCCGGGACACACGGTGTGCTTGTCCTCCAGATGGGTGCGCAGCGTGTGGGCGGAGCGGTAGATCTTGCCGCACTTGGGGCACGGACGCGGATCGGTGGCCCGCACACGCATCTCCAGCGAGCGTCGCGAAACTGTAAGACACAATTAAAGGCATATATATTAGTTTTTTGTCGGGTCAAATGGTGTGCCGCGTGGAGAGACCAATGAAAAGGCAGCTCAACTCGTCTTCGTTTGCTCTTTATTGTTCACCAAAATAGATTTGCATTCCCGCCGGCAACACAGATACAAGATACTCGTCGTTCTCTAGATACATTTGTTGTTTGCCCCTTTGGACAATTTTGCAAACTAAAATGGCATACAAACTGCTTGTTTTCTCTTGTTTTTAGGCTTTATAAACTACAATTGTAAAATTGTCCGCTTCGAAATAGAATTTATGTTAAGTCAATATCGAATACAACCTCGATACTAGACCTTCTTTAGCCAGTTTTGCACTGAAGCTTCGATTTAGGTTTTAGTTTTGGTTTTAGTTTTTAGTGTTTTTTTGTTTTGATTAACATTATAGGAACCTTTTTACGTATGTCTGCTCTTGGAGTGTTATGCCGCCAATCGAATCGAATTACAGTTTAGTCAACCTAAGGTAATCAACAAAATATATCATTTCCTTGAATTTTCAACTTTCTCTAATACAAATCGTTTTCAGTTTTTGGTATCTCTTTTTTAATGCTCAACTTTAGTTTACTTCTGTTTTTAGTTTTCTTTTTTCAGTTTTCACTTTTAATTTTCTTTCGTTTTTTTTTTTTTTTGTTTTTTTGGCTAAAAATATATTACGCAGGCACATTCTATTTTGTTTCAGTATCAATATTCATAATAACTACTTTATATATTTCTATATTTCTTTGTTTGCTTGTTTGCTTGTTTTAGCTCTTTATCTACATAGTTATATCTCACCCTCTATGGCTTAATCGTACGTATTTTGCTTATGTAACTCTATGAATTAATGTTATTATTCTTTTTGTGAGTAGTTTTTCGGTTTTCGGTTTCGGTTACTTTTTCACTTTAATACTGCACATGCTTTTACTGGAGTCCTACAGATTCTTCGTATCTCTCTCTCAGCTAATGTAAAGGAATTCAATTCAAAGTTTGAGATTTGCTTTTGCCTTAGCTAAACATATCAGAGCTGTAAGTGTCTGCATATGTAATATACTTTATCGCATATAGGAACGTATTAATTGTTGTAAGTAATCCTAACCCAAAGCGTTCATCTACCGCCGCCAGCTAAGATGCTTCTCCTTTATTAATGTTTTCAACACCATTTAATGATTAAACTTTATGAAATTGTTATTAGTTGGTTTTATGGAAAAAAAATAAAGACACAAAATGTTTATCCGAATTTAGAAATATTTGTAATGGCATCAATAATCAATCACTATTTAGGAATCGTTGAGAAATATAAAAAAAAAGTAAAAATTTAAATAAACTTATGAGTTGTCAAGGAATATTTGCATTAGGTTTCTTGAGTAGCTTCTAGGAAATATTAAATTAAAAAAAAAACAAAAAAGCTAGATTTAAGTAAGTCCTAACTGAGTTTACGAACTAAGAAATAATAACAAAATAAATAAAAAATGAATAAAAACAATAATTTATATTAGAAAACTAAATAGGCAAAAATTTAGAAATAATAATAATGGCTTTAATGAAGTTTAGGGATCTTTTATGGAAAAGCAGCAGTAATGGGTAACTTCTGATAAATGTTTTCTAAGCCTTGTAAAACCTACAATAAAGTCCTTACTGAGTTTTGGAATCTGTATCAGCGCATCGCCTCTGACTGAAACCTAGCATAGACTGTTAAAAATAGTTATTTCAGTTAAGGAACGATCATTTGGGGAAGCTTCCTTGGCAGACTGGCGGGCAGTAAGCGATGCAGTAGTTGGCTCGTGCACTTATAGTTACGGTTACAGTTACAGTTAGAGTTAGAGTTGCAGTTACAGTTCGAGTTCCAGTTACAGCTTTAGTTATAGTGGACTCCGACTGGGACTTTGGACTACTTTTGGCTATCTACGATAGATGCGAGTGTCGCGAGACAGGGTGATTCCTCTGGGACTCTGGGACTCTAAGATTGCGAGTTAGATTCGATTTATTGTCGCCATTGACTGACTGAGAAAGCAGCAACCTAGAAAGCTTTTAGCGTGACTGACTACGCGCATAGTAGCGTTTAGCCGACGGCCTCGCAGTTTCATTTGAAGTCGGGCCCGCCGGCAAAGGGGCCGCCCGAGGAGCGCATGGCCTTCATCTTGGCCCACTGCAGCGTGTGTTTGATGCGCATGTGATTCCGCACCGAGTTGGGGTGCGCAAAGCGGCGACCGCACTCGATCACCGGACAGACGGGACTGTCGCGCGGATAGTGACGGTCCAGGTGCTGGCGGAAGACGCGCTGCTCCAGCGGCGTTTCGCACAGCGGACAGGGCAGCATGTAGTTGCTGCTGCCGGCTGAAGTGGCCGCTCCTCCGCTGCCGCTGCCGCCCACAGTCACTGGGGCGGCAACTACTGGTCCCGCCACCTGGCCCCCGGGTCCGCTTGCATTGTTGCCCGGACTGCTGGCCGAGGCAGCCGCCGCAGCAATGGTGTTCTGAAAGAGTTCCGGGAAATCGCGTGACCTGCTCAACGCAATGGTCCTGGCCATAAAGAGATTGGCCGTCAGCTGCTGCTGATGCGACTGCTGCAGCTCATCCAGGTACTGCTGCTGTTGCTGATGTTGCTTGTGTTGCTGCTGGTGTTGCTGCTGCTGCTGCTGCTGGTGTTGCTCCTGCTTCATGAGCAGCGTTTGGTAGAGCGTGGACTCGCTATCCTGGCGCGTTCTCTTCATCGTCAGCGAAATGGCCGAGGAGGCGGAGGAGGAACGATCGTCCTCGTCCTCGTTGCTGTTGTGCTGCTGCTGCTGCTGTTGCTGCTGTAGCGCCTGTTGTTGCTGCTGCTGCTGCTGGTGCTGCTGCTGGTTGTGGTTGCTGCTGCTGCAGTCCTGCATGTCCTGATCCTCCTCACTGTCGTTCCAGGATCGAGCCGACGGCGTGGGCGATGAGTTGGCCGAGCGGTTCTTCTTGGTATTGTTGTTATTGTTGTTATTAATACGATGCTGATGGTTCTGGTGGTGATGGCGATGATGGGGATGATGTGGCTGGTGGTGGTGGTGCGGCTGGTGGTGGCTGCGTCGCTGGTCGAACAAGTGCCGCTGCTGCTGCTGTTGCATCAGTTTGGCCAATTTGCAGGCCGCAGGACGACGGTCGGCAGCATGGGCCTCATGTGGCTGCTGCTGCTGGAGAAGATCCTCCTCCACATCCGGCTCCAGCACCTCCTGCTTGATGGCACTCTTGGCGTTCAGGAATGTGCCTGCGATCCAAACATTTCGAGTGGCAAGTTGGGAAGGAAGTCAATGTGAAATCGAAAATCAGAAGCTAAGTAAAGGTATTCTCTAACAGTTTCATTCGGCAGCTTCAATTTTGATGTTCGAGTGTGTGGAACGAACGTGTGTGTGTTTTTTTTTTTTTTTGAGGAGGAAGAGTGGGTTCAATTTTGAGTTCCATCATTAGCAGCAGCAACAACAACAACAACGACAGCAGAACTGAATTCACCGCCGTATTTTGTTTTTAACAATTTTCACTTGCATTATTTAGTGCCAATTTCTTTCTTTTTTATTTTTCTTGGTTACAGATTCAGTTCTAAAGGTTTATTATATTGCTTTAACTACTCTTTCTCTTGGAATTACACACACACACACTGTTTAAGCCAATAGTTTTGCTCCATTTTCTTTGTTCAGCCAATTAAATCGGTTTAGGTATTTCGTTATATAAAGTATTTAGGTATATAATACATATAACATTCTACATAAATATATTGTTTTTTGGCAGGCAAACAGGCAAATGATTATTTAAATTATATTACAAGAAGTGCAAAACATTCTAAGAAACTAAAAATTAATATGTATTATTATTACTATCGGTGCAGTGAAACTCACATACCATATCTAATTTTTAATGCAATCTCTTTAATCTTATTAAAATTTAAACAACGGATTAGGTTTGCCGTTCCTAGACTGCAAAACGCATATGTATCGCTGAGCAAATAGGGTGGACCAAAAAAAAAAAGGAAGAGAAGGGGAAAGCGTATCGCGTGTTATGGAACCATTGCCGGATTGGACGGGCGTACAACTCTATATGCGAACTGCGATTGTGCATATACATATTGGCCATATCCGAGTGGCGTGCAGGAACACACCTGGCCCCGTCCCTAAATTAAGATTCACCCTTTGCATTCCGCCCGCTCCCATTTGCATCGCCATTTCCACATCCCCATCCACATCCACTTCGATTTCCATTTCGTTTCGTTTCAATATTCGATAATAATAAATATTGAAAAATAAAACGCAATTTAATGTCTACAAAATTGCCAAGGCCCATGCCAGAGGGCTTCGGAATTGGAATATTGAGTCATTTTTTGGGATGGCCAGAGATTTTCGAGGCGAGGAGGTGCAGGTCATGACGCAAGGCGACCCCAAAAAAGGCTGAAATCAAATTAAACAATTTAGTTCTGCCTTTGTGCGTGACAACTCAAGGGAGAAGGCAAACAGTTCGGCTGCATAAATATATATCGTATATCAAGTGAAAAATACAATAAAATCAAATCGAATAAAATGGGAAATGCAATATGCATCCGTATTATGTACCATATACATATAGCTGGCCCTGTCTGGCGAACGAGCTGACATATGGGATGCTTAGGTGCACATGAAACATGCATGGCCGCATCACAGTTTCCTTCGGTGAGCTCCTCGTCGATTGGCCGGCGCCAGGACATCGAGCTGGCATCCAAGCAGGACAGGATGGGCCAGCTCCTGGCTGCCGATCGCCTTTGACCAGCCAAGCACATTGCGAATTTGTCACATTTGAGGAAACCGAAAGGATGTTGGCCCTGCCTGCAAGTGACAGCCACAAGAACAAGTCCTGAACGAGGACATTGTGTGGCCCACCGGATCAAATCAGGCGTAAGACTTCCCCTTCCCCGCCCCTTTACCCCCCACCTTATTCCCCTGACAAAAGTGCACTTTTTGTGAAAGATGCGTTTGGACCTGGGCTCAGGT